ATAATTCTACATCATCCATATTGTTACACTATTTGTTTTTGTGGTAAGTAGGTAAGATAAAGAACAATGCTACTGTTGTAGTTGTTATGGACGAGTACCACTGATACAGAGTGTTTGTTCTTTTAGCTTAGCCCAAATTTTTTTGCTTGCGTCTGTTTGGTAAATGTTGTCCTTGTAAATGTAGATGATAAGATTTGTGATTTTCCAGAATCTCTAGAGCTGTTTCCAATTAGAGTTGTAGATTATGGAAATCTGATGTCATGTTTTGTGATGCAAGATGATGTAAATATAATGAAAAATCTGAACTTTGACGCATATAAGTTCTCAGTTTAATGGTTTTGGATCTTTCCAAGTAATTATTGCTCCACCTTTTGTATTTTTAGCAGATCAAAAAGAATTTATTCAGAATTATGTTTTTTAATGCCAACATTTCGTGCCAATATGTTCTTCATTCATGGGTGTTAAAAAGAAAGCCAAACCTTTTTATGGATGGTTAGACTTTTCTGAGAATGTTTGAATATCCTATAATAGTCAAAGAATGGTTCTCAAACCAAAATTAGGCTAGGCTCACTTGAATTATGTTTTTTAATGCCAACATTTCGTGCCAATATGTTCTTCATTCATGGGTGTTAAAAAGAAAGCCAAACCTTTTTATGGATGGTTAGACTTTTCTGAGAATGTTTGAATATCCTATAATAGTCAAAGAATGGTTCTCAAACCAAAATTAGGCTAGGCTCACTTGACTGATGAGATTTATGGTTCTTAAAATATTCAATTAACCCTCCAATAGTTAAGTTATTATCTCACTTTCATACTCTTGTTGTGCGTGTTTTTAGTGCATTTGTTATTTAGGACATTGTAGAGATGCCATGAGATTTTTGATTTTAGAGAATTGGAAGGGAATGCTGGATGATCACTATTTTAAATGGAGATTCATCAAGGCACTGTGATATTGTTTAATTGTTGATACTTTTTGGTTTATGGATATATAAGCTATTATTCACCAACCTAATTGCATAAAATTTAGTAGAAGTTTGCGTTGCAACTCCCTCTGTGGACATTCAAGTATTGTTTACCATCCTATTTGCGTAAAATTTTATATAATTTAGTTGTATTTGTATTCATAACCAACTCAACGAGGCATACAACTAAAATTATATAGAAATACTGCAAGTTTGAATGTCATCACCTGCATTACAGATGGTGATTTGGTTATAAGCATATACTGCAAATGATTGTATTTCTTCAGCTCATGCTTTGTTGAAACTGCAAGCTTATATAAATATTTCATTGGTTACTCTTGATGTGCTACTCTGTGAACAGTACAAGTGTTTCCACAAACAGTTTCCTTGTTTTATTAGCTTTTGCATGCTTACATTGTATGATGCCGATTACATTGTATGATCCTAATTACTTTTGACAGTTGGGGATTGACCTTTTTATAGTTTATGATTCACAATCTTGATCTTTATTAGCATTCAAACTTGTTTTTGCCGGTACATTTGGAGCACTTGCGTGATCTGTATTGGTATTCAAAATGTACATTAGAATATTACGTCAGTTTGTATTCTTCAGGCGCTTTTATAACAATCTCATGCACATGTTACTAAACTTTGTTGAAATCGTGGTTTATGTGTTTTATAGAGCTTAATAGGTACTTTGAGGCTTTCATATTTTTAAAAGCTTGGCGTATCAAGGTTTAATTAATGCTTCTAAGCTTCTCAATTTGTTGCATCTGTATAATAATTCTCAACAAGTAATCATATTCTGGTCCACTGTAAGAGCTAATTTTGTACTAATTTTTCATGTTTATAGACTAGGCTCTTTGAGGAGATGGCCTGTCTAATATTTTTTTATTCCTTTGTTCAGTAGAGGGCTTATTAAAAGCATGCTAAGGAAAAGCCCTGAACATAGGCCAAGTGTAAGTACTTGTGTTGTTACTTTATAGCATGCTTAAAAGTAGAAATAATGATTTTTTACTTGTGTGAAATACAATTTTCCAAGCTGCAGAACTGCTCAAACATCCTCATCTTCAGGCTTATGTGCTTCAAGTACATTTGAAAACCAGCCCAAATCACAACCCTCTTCCCATGCATCACACTACAAGCAATCTCATAAAGAAAATTAGATTTTCTGATGATGAAGATGATTTTGTTTCCAAGGAAAAAGATTAATGACAATCCTATGGAAATGAAAGGATTGTGAAGCCAAACCAAACCACGGCTGAGCAGGATTCCATAAACTTAACAAAAAGCATTATAGATCATGCAGACTATTTGAAACCAAAGATTAAGGACTACTCAGTTGGCAGCAGTCATATGGGTCAGTTGCGTTGTGGTAGAACAAACAACAATAAGCCAAGTATTTCTTCGACGCCTAAGTATACTCCAGGCAAAGGTTTTATTACTCCTAGAAAGCAAGAGGAACCAGCAAAAAACATACACAGTGTATAAAACCGAGAAATGGTAACTTTTGTTTCCTCCTTAGCAAAATCTAGAACAAAGTCATTCAGTTTGCTTCACATCCAGTGCAAATGATAAAAAGGTTTACCTTTTTCATGTTTAAATTTCCAACATACTATTAGATAATTGGCATCTAGCTGTTCCAATTATCTTAATTTAGGAAAGGAACATTTACATATGTATGTATGTATGTAAATGGTGCAGCACATGCTTATTAGATATGTAAATACATGAGAATTGGGTTGTATGTATGTAAATCATCTTTTTTTTTTTTTGGTGCAGCATATGCTTATTGTTTTGATAGATGAGTCTTAAAATGCCCATTTCACCAAACAGTGCTATTTTTTTTTCTGTTTTGAAGGGATCCGAGGGCTAAATTTATGATAATTTGTATTGCTTGTGTTGTTGCTCCTTTTGATTAATGGTGTGCTATTGTTTTGCTTTTTTCCTCTTTGTTCTACTTTTTCGCAATCAGGAAAATATGAGCTCAAAGAATTCCGGGACATCCCGACGATTGCTCTGCCACTGTTGCCTTCAAACTTCCTTGCTGTCGTAACGGGTAACGGCGACCACACAACAAAGGGAGAAAGTTCCGTAGCTGCCCACAGAGCATCACAACATAGTGTCGCTTCTTTCGTTGAGCAGACAATTCAGAGAATTCCCCTGACGAAAACTATTCGGAGTGGAGAACATCCCTCGAGGAAAGTCTAGCACGGGAGTTACACCTTCAGAATGTTAAAAATAATATAATCATCTTGATAATCACTGTGACGTGAGCTGAATATTTATAAATCTGTATTATTTTTATTTGAACTTTTTTCTTAAAAGCATCAAATTTATGTCTTATGGAATTGGCTAAAAATTGTAGATGTCTATTTTTTATATTTTTAACTTGTAAAGTGAATTTCTGCTTCTGTTTTATCATATATAAGACTGTCATTGTTCTGTTCCAAACAGTTTAACTAAACAGGGGCATAATTGTCATTTTTTAAGAAACAGTTACCCCACAACTGTTTTCACACAACTGTAACAAACAACCAGTCAGCTTCCCCGCAGTCACAACAACTTCCTGAGGCGGCGCAGCTGCAGCTGAAAAGTTGAAAAGCTGCAGCTGCGCCAAACATACTCTTAGTTTTACATGATCATTTTTATATTAGTATGAAATATTAGGCAACCTAATTAAAAAAAATCTAATTATATGATCTTTTTTTCTATTAGAAATATTTCTAATTTATTTACCCTAATCTATTATTCATAGAAAAGCCTAGAGCTAATTTTTATATGCAAAATTACAATCCTATTCCAGCCCTTTTTTTTCTCATGTCCACCTATTGATAGTAGAATAACTCCCCGTTAACACACGTGAACCCATGCACCACATAAATCACATTATATTTTATAGTTTGCTTGGTGCATGACTTTCTTTTCCGCATTATTTAGCACAACATAGAAAAGATGCAACATCAGCACCTACATGTTTCTAGTTTGTTGCACACTTAGGTGACAACATCTATGTTGTTGTAAAATACTGAAGTTTTAAGCCCAAAAAACAAATAAAAAAAAAGGAAAGAAAAAAAAAAAAAAGGAAGAGAATGAGCTCGATTCACACTATGTGGTTATCCTCATATACAACCTTTGTTTTCCACCGCCCTCCCTTTTTTTACAACCGAACCCAAAAAACAAATATAATTTGCACAAACATCATCTTTTACATAAAAGATCAATAAAGAACCAGCTCAATCAACCTCCATCACAATTACAAATCTACCCCCGCATTCCCATTTCTTGAAGCCTCGACTCCCAGTTATTTATCGTCCTCCAGAGCATCCGTTCGACTTCCCTGAGATTTCTTCAGCTTTGCCACAAGAATCCACATGTTCGCAAGATCGTTCTCCAAAAAGGCTTCCTTCTGTTTCAATTCCTCCATCTTTTTCTGCAGCTCTGTTTCTCTCTGCTCTTTCTCCATCAAAGCCGCCTCGAGCGCGAGCTCTCTCTCATGGCTAGAGTTAGAATCTCGCCTGCTGGTTGGTTCGTGGCGCTTAATGTGACCGTTACCCCTCGTGACTTTCATTCCATTGGTTGCTCGACGGTTGGAGGAATTCTTCAGAAGGGACAATTCATTGGCGAGCCCCTCATTGCGGTTCATTAGCTTAGTAACTTCTTCTGATAAAGCCTTCAGCTCCACACCTGCAGCTGAAGCGAGTCCCTTTGCATATTGGCTCTCCTCTGCTAGCTTCTGGTTTTGTGCTTCGAGTCGGCTTTTTGCTTCTGTGAGTTCGGAGATTTTGCCTTTCAGATCTTCAATTTCATGTTCCTGGTGGATTTGAATAGGGTCAGAGGGGAAGTAAAATCCTCGTTCGTTCATTTATTTTCCAACCGATGATTTATCAATCAATCCATTTTAACTTTATTGCTCGTTTATTTTAATATAAGCATTTCTGGAGTTTACTCACTTATTGATGATTTTCTTATTGCTCAATGCTCATATAGCACAGCCATTCTGTTGATAGCTTAGTTAGATTTATCTCCAAGTCTAAGAAATATTGTCTTATCACGGTTTTCTTTGAACAAGCACGCATTTTTAGTCATCCAACTATAGCTATAAAAGTAATGCCATTTTCTGTCTAAAAATCTTTTAATACAAATCCAAGGGCTTAAAACTTATAACAGGTACAATGTGATTCATTGTCGTTCGATGAAGCATGAGCCTCCTAACTTAAAAAATTAACAGATTTTAACTACTCACTCCAGAAAACACCTCACTCGGTAGATTAAAATTTTCGTTTTTTAACTTCAACCACCCTGATCCTGGTAAAAATTTTAAACCATTTTTTTTCATGAAGCAAATATTTTACTTCTAATTTTTTTCTTACTTCTATGATCTACACCCATAGACACAACTCTACATTGCATGGATAAAGTTTTTCCTGATCACCTTCCACTAATGTATGTTAAAATTAAAATGATATACATCGAAGCGGATGTGTAAACAAAATTTGTAACATTTAAGCGTAACATGTGGATGTGGAGACTAAACAACGCATCTAAGCAGCTGTATCAATACAAGAATATGCCTCGTCAGAACTGCTTGATTCTGAGGAAAACCATTCTAAACAGATCTTACAATTGCATGTACAGCAATACCAACTGTATTTTTTTAAAAAAATTTAATATGTACTGTACCTTAAATAGAAGGAAGATTTATCTGCACACCAACTCAATCCTTACGTATTTACATATCTAACACCTAAACTTCAATTTTTACATATATGCTGCCTTACCTATGCATGAAAGGTGTATTTCACTTTTTAAAACTAAAAATAGTAGTTTTGATGTGATATGAAACATATGGGTGGTATAAATGTAAACAATTAAAATTTAGGCATTAGATATGTAAATACATAAGAATTGGGTGGTATGTATTTAAATGCCCCTAAATAAAAACATATATAGGAGTACCTACCAGATGTGGTTGTTGCAGCTCAGAATTACTCTCTCTTAATGGCAGGCTTTCTTTTCTTCGTCGTAGCTCATGAAGGCTCATTACATTAATGCTATATTCTGCCGGATTGGAAGAAGAGGAACTCCTCTTATCAAGAGCTTCTGAAAGTTGCTGTCTTAGTGAAGTAAGCGTCTCCTGCAACTCTTCACATTCACAAATCTGGTACAAAGAGATCGTGAATTTGATGCTTGATTATCGTCTTAAGAAACCAGTAAGAAAATTTAGAAGAATGATATTCTATTTTATCTGACCTTTTGTTGTAACTGATCCTGGATTACTCGATTATCTGCAGTTTTTACCTGGAAGTAAAGATGATGATCTCTCTTAAGTCAGAAAGTAAATTAAGCTAAAGGATTTTGCTGCAAGAAGGTTCTCACCACTCGGCTTACAGCACGGGTGGAAAGCAACAAATGCCGCAACATAAAATTATAGCCACAGTTCAAGAACAAGAACAAATGCAGCAACATAAAATACCTATCACGTATAAGGATGTGCATTCTTTGAAATATATAAGGGAACAAATAAGACAAGAAATTGTTTCTCACCTCAAGTTCAAAGGTCTTTTCATTTAGTTGTTCTACAAGTGCAGCATAGGACTGAATGAAAAATAGAAGAGTTTATTAGTGATCTGGCTTATTTAAAATAAGGAGCGAGAAAATCAAATGCCAGCAATGGATCAGTTTACCGGTGAAAGGTCCAACTTTCTGTGGTTGTTTTTATTATCAGAAAGCAAGTCTGCAATGCGTTTCTCCAAAGCAAACATGTGCTGATTCTTTGCCTTTATCTCATCAGTAACCTTCCTTATCTCCACCTTGACATTCAACAAAGTATATTAATGACGACATACTCAAAAAAATTGATAAAAAAGGAATGTATAAGAGATCAGTAATTACTCGAATTTGTTCCTTCCTCGGGTTATTTGCTGCCTCATCTGAAAGTCGTTTAAGAACACTTGAACTGAGAGCAACCTCCCCAGCCAATATTTTTAGCTGTTCTCTCATTAGATCAACATGATCAATAGTGTTTGTGCTAGTGCTAGCCTGGCATATGTAAAGAAATTTAGTTAACAGTAAATTAAGAGGAATAGAAATATATAAATGATTAGTCAACAAAGAATAGTTTGGACAATCTAAATTATGGTCATGATGATAGATAAAGATGTCTTTGTCATAATTGTGCAGAATGGGAATTGCTAGAATTTATTTAGAGGCTTCGGAACATCTAGAAAACTAATACAAGAAAAATAGAAATGCAACGATACATCAGTAATAACATCCTTTATCATCATAGATCAAAACACAAGTTCACAATTCCATCCTCCTCACACATATAAAAAAGAAAAGTGAACTTCTAACACCAACAAATAAGGTCATCAAGAAAATAGGCATCTTCCTGATGCTACAGATTCCTAAGCAATGCTGCTAATTTCAATGTGATGTACTTTCGAAGAATTTACCTTCCCACCACACTAAGGTTTAAATGAAACAGGAAGACTTAATATTGAAACAAGACGCAGCCTTGTAAGGGATATGAAATTTCACGATAAGAAAATGATAAAGTATTGACAAGCAACAAGAATATTGACACACGGACATCACCGTCGAGAATTCGAGAATGGATAAAGGGAAAGAAGATGGAGAAGTGAACCAGGAGAAAACGCAAGATAATGAGACGCATGGGACCAGTGATGACATTGATGAGAAAACACCGATAGACAAAGTGAAAGGCCCGAACCTTTTTGAGAGGGCTAAGGAAGAGATTGAGGCGCTTGTAGAAGCTGTCCATCCAAAGAAAGAAAAGGACGATAAGAAAGAAAAATAGAAAAGTTGCTTGCTCCAAAAAGAAAGATGGCCTTCTTTTGTATGCTCGAAGGAATACATAATGCAGTTCTCATCAAAGTTTCCTTTTTCTGAGAATCGACTGGAAGGTTGCAAATTGATATGTATTTTACTTTTTTTTTTGTTCCAAAAATACACACACACACACACACGCACACATCAAGACGCAGCCTTGTAAGGGATATGAAATTCATGATAAGAAAATGAAAAAAGTATTGACAACAATTTGAAGGACAAGCAACAAGAATATATATATATATATATATATAAACAAAATTAAGCAATTTACTTTAGGTATAGTACCCGGCTTCAGGTCATTGCAATAAACATTTTTTTAAATAAATATGTATACGCAGAAACCAAGACCTCAGGCATTATGTAAGTAAGAGAAATCATCAGGGAACATTATCATAAACTAATGCAAATGAAAGTTGAAGACCAAATAAAAATTTCCAGTCCGCCAACATATTTCAAATCTCCAATCAGAGAAAGTTCTATTTGTTTCTAGATCTTGTTTTTATTGATCAGTTTATAAGCCTTTTTAATCAAAGAAAAATTGGATGATTTCTGCTAAAGCAAAATCATGAATCCACGGCAACACATTTCCAGAGTAACTCAGCAATCCATAGACAAGAGCTTGGCGCCAAGAACAATCCACAATCCATGGACAGCAATTTTCAATTTACAACAATCTAGCAATATGTGAGATGCGGAAAGGACGAGCTCCCGTGAATGAACGGGGATGCGGGAAGTCACGCAATGGGAAGGGGCTCCCCATTCGTACCTTGATAGAACCGGTCCAACGTTTTTTCGACGATGATGAGTTAGCCGGTTTTCTTGGGCCACTCCTAATTATCTATTACTATATATTTGTTTTTCGTGATTTAGGTTTTTAGTTTTTCGTGTTTCTGTTCAGGGCAGCTGTCGGTGTCCCGATGTCTCGCTTTTAGGCCTGTATCCTAAGGCAAGTTGTGCTCCAACTATAGCTCGTCTAAGGTGGTGACCTTCTTCTAAGGGTCAAGTGGTGCTCTCGCTATAGCTCGTTCCCGAGGGAGTATTTATCCTTGACCTTTCCTTCCATACACCCCTCACTTCTCTGCCACACCTTGTTCCTCGCTGCAGCCACAAGATAGTTGCTGCCGCCGTTCTTTCCTGCAGTTCACTTTCTAGCCACCTCCACAATCCTTGCCGTCCTTCCGAATCAGCCGCCAGCCCTCTCTCTTGCTGTTTTTGACAATCCACAGCCTTCTAGCCACCCCATAACTGATACCAACACTGTTCCAACCCTCCATCCTTGCTGTCCTAGCTCTCCCGACCCTCCACTGTTGCTGCCGCTGCCCTCCACACCTCCCTTACTGTTTTCCTGTTGCCCAGTCACCTCAAACAGCAAACAACCGCTGTTTGGAAAGTTGACCCTTGCTGCCTGTTGTTTCAGTCACCCATAATCGCTGCCGCTCCTCATCCACAACCCATAAACCACTTCCCTGCAATGTCACCATCTCGCTGAGCCTCCTCCGTCACCACCATCACCCAAAATCCGCCCTAAAACGAGTTTGTGTGTCGTGTGTGTTGTTTTTCTCTTCAAGTGTGTTTGATTGTAACCGCCTATTTGCTTCCAACAATAATATTTGTTTTTTCAAAAGTGATTTGAGTTAACTCCGATATCATTTGGTATCAGAGCTAGCCTAACCCTGATCCTATCATAAATTTTCAAGTATCCGCCATACCCAAGCCCACCCCAACCAAAAAAATTCCCTTTCTTTTTCAGTCAAACCATCCTATACCTTACATCACCCCTACCTACACCACAAACACTAACCATGCCACCATCGAGACAAGTGTCAGGCGCCTATCATGAGTTTATCATGGAAGAAATATAATAACTTCCCCAAATTCTACAATGACTCGATGGAGTTGAGGAAAAAAAGACTATGTAGAGGAGTCACCCGAACTCCATTTAATTATAAAGATAAAGTCAACGTCAGAGGATAAAGAGGTAAAGTGTATGGTAGATTTTAGAGATGAAGAGCATCTACCCCGAAGAATTGAGCTGAAATATTTGAGAAGCCATTATTTTGGGATTTCATTGGATTGCCACATTTGATGGTCACTTAGATTTGGAGGATTTCATCGAGTGGCTTCAAATATGGAAATTTTTTTAGTACTTGGAAGTCCCGCTAGATGGAATGATGAAACTAGTCGCTGACAAGTTAAAGAAGAGTGCATTGTTTTGGTGGAAAAAAATTGAAGCACCTAAACCAATGTGAGGGAAAAGATAAAATCACTACTCGGTCTCACATGAAATGGGAGATGCAACGCAAATATCTATTAGTTCATTACGGAAAGGATGTGCAAACCCTAACTTTAAAAGTAGAAAGAAAATTATCGAAAGACTACTGCATCTTACAGACAGTTCAACCACAGGATGTTACAACAGGAGTACAGTTAGAGGAACACCCAAGACGATCATGCCTGAGGAGACGCAATGTTAGAGTGGAGAAAATGTGAAACCAAACAGCATTCCCAAATCCTTCTCAGCTAGGAGAACAAGTGGAACCAATCAGAAACGGATAGTAGTTTCCATCTAAACAATCCAACAATCGATGGATAACAACTATAACAATCCAATGATTTGTGGAAAACACTCCATTTATTTTGTGTGGTTAATTCCAGATTCCAAAATTAAACAATGGCTTTAGGATTTTATTTCTTTTTTTTTATGTTATTTTATTAACTATTTATGTACATCTACTCACTCTTATTTTTCACATAGTATAAAAAAATAAAATTCATTCGTATATCTCTCAAATTTTACTCCTCTCTCTCTCTCTCTCTCTCTCTCTCTTCCCTGTCTAAGTTTGAGATATCAGGGGTTCTATACTACCTATGAGGTCAACAAGTCCTTTAATATGGAGTTCCTTCTCCAAATCAACTGGTCCTTCATCAATATTAGAAGTAAGTTTCGTCCAACAAGAGTGACAAAATCATATACGGAGGATCCCTTGAAAAGAAGACGGTGGCAACTTCCATGAACATCTACTCGTCAAAAAGCTGAAAACTCCAAGTTAGGAACTACACCTCAAAATAAAAAATTCAAATCCAAAACATGAAAAATTCATGATGAAATATTGGATTCATAATTTCTAAAGAGAACACAACAATGATGGATCACAGTAATTCTTTACTTCCTCTTGTAGCCATCTGGATAGCAAACCAAAAACAATCAATTGTTCTCACAACAAAAGCATATTACAAAACATCATCGGAATATGCTTGGTTTTTCAGAAAAATAAATTCTTAGATGCCCACATTGTTGATAAGAAGAAAATTATTACGTAAACTCAGAGAGTGTTAGATCACATGATAAGAGAAAAAACCCCTTTCACAATTACAACACATGCCATGCAAATTATAATGCTTGAATTGCAAATGTCACCGTCAAAAGTGCTCAAATTGGTTTCTACCATTCTCTCAAAAATTTTCTTGCTAATTTCTCATCTAAGCAGTGTCTCTTTAAGGGCTTGAACTCAAAGAAGATGATTGACAATGCTTTAATGCTTGAATTATCTGTGATTGTTCATAACTCTTAATTTTTGAAAAATGATCTCAAGTACGAGCTCAAATGAAAGGCTGTGTGTCTACCAAAACCCTTCAAATTTTAAAGATACTCAAATAATGATCGTAAAGTATTGCTTGGTTTTTCAAAAAAATGAATTCTTAGATGCCCTCATTGTTGATAAGAAGAAAATTATTATGTAGACTCGAAGAGCGTTAGATAACATGATAAGAGAAGAAAAATCCTTTCACAATTACAACACATGCCATGCAAATTATAACCTAAATTGCAAATATAACTGTCAAAAGTGCTCAAATTGGTTTCTGCCATTCTCTCAAAAGAATCAACACTTAAATTGTGCTTGTAATGCCTAACCTAGATTGCAGCTTTCAATCAATCAATAAACTCACTCGGAGCAAAAATTTTCTTGCTAATTTCTCATCTATGCAGTGTCTCTTTAAGGGATTGAACTCAAAGAAGGTGATTGACAATGCTTGAATTATCTGTGATTGTTCATAACTCTTGATTTTTGAAAAATGATCTCAAGCAAAGTAAGAGCTCGAATGAAAGGCTGTGTATCAACCAAAACCCTTCAAATTTTAAATATACTCGAATAATGATCCTAATGTATTGCTTTGCCATGATT